GGTGTACAGAGTCAGCCTCTTTCCCCCCAACAATCTGGGTCCTCGTTTTACCCACCTCGGAAGGACGGAAGGCTGAGTCAACCTTCAGCCGGTAAGATTCGAACTGCGGGTTAGGGGGCAGAGTTAGCCTGCAATGCTGCATTGTAACAACTGTGCCACTATGGTTTCCTTCCTTCCTTCCTTCCTTCCTTCCTCCCTCCCTCCCTCCTTGCTTGCTTCCTTCCTTCCCTCCCTCCTTCCTTTCCTTTCTTCTTTCCTTCCCAAGCATATACCGCTTCACAGTGATTTACAGCCCACTCTAAGCTGTTTATAGAGTCAACGTCTTGCCCCAATAATCGAACTGCTGGCAGTGGGCAGAGTTAGCCTGCAATGCTGCATTGTAACAACTGTGCCACTATGGTTTCCTTCCTTCCTTCCTTCCTTCCTTCCTCCCTCCCTCCCTCCTTGCTTGCTTCCTTCCTTCCCTCCCTCCTTCCTTTCCTTTCTTCTTTCCTTCCCAAGCATATACCGCTTCACAGTGATTTACAGCCCACTCTAAGCTGTTTATAGAGTCAACGTCTTGCCCCAATAATCGAACTGCTGGCAGTGGGCAGAGTTAGCCTGCAATGCTGCATTGTAACAACTGTGCCACTATGGTTTCCTTCCTTCCTTCCTTCCTTCCTTCCTCCCTCCCTCCCTCCTTGCTTGCTTCCTTCCTTCCCTCCCTCCTTCCTTTCCTTTCTTCTTTCCTTCCCAAGCATATACCGCTTCACAGTGATTTACAGCCCACTCTAAGCTGTTTATAGAGTCAACGTCTTGCCCCAATAATCGAACTGCTGGCAGTGGGCAGAGTTAGCCTGCAATGCTGCAACTGTGCCACTACATCTTTCTTCCTTCCTTCCATTCATTTTCCTTCCTTCCATTCATTTTCCTTCCTTCCTTCCATTCATTTCCTCCTTCCTTCTTTCTTTCTTTCCTTCATTCCATCCTTCCTTCCTTCCATTCATTTTCCTTCCTTTCTTCCATTCATCTTCCTTCCTTCTTTCTTTCTTTCTTTCCTTCCTTCCTTCCATTCATTTTCCTTCCCTCCTTTCATTCATTTTCCTTCGTTCCTTCTTTCCTTCCTTCTTTTTCTTTCCTTCCTTTTTCTTTCCTTCCTTCCATTCATTTTCCTTCCTTTCTTCCATTCATCTTCCTTCCTTCTTTCTGTCCTTTCTTCCTCCCTCCTTTCCTCCCTCCCTCCCTCCCTCCCTCCCTCCTTCCTTCCTTCCTTCCTTCCTTCCTTCCTTCCTTCCTTCTCCACAGCACTTAAAGTTATCTACCACTTCACAGGGCTATTTACATCCCGCTCTAAGCAGTTTATCAGCCCATCACCCCCAACAATCCGGGTCCTCATTTTACTGGTCTCGGAAGGACACAAGGCTGAGTCAACCTCGAGCCGGTCAGGATCGAACTCCTGGCAGTGGGCAGAGTCAGCTTGCAATACTGTATCCTAACAACTGCCCCACCCATGCTCTTATTACCCTCCAGTTAACCCTTTCTCTCTCTCTCCTCCTCCTCCTCTCTTCTCCCACGGTGGCCGCCTCCTGCTTGGGTCAGACCCGCCGTGGACACGGCTGGCAAGGAGGCTAAGAATGGGGAGGACAGGCCCGCGTCCGTCATGAGCTCGCTGAGCTACCGCAAGCGCACCAACCTCAAGGACTCCATTGGAGGGAAAGGGGACGAGGAGAGTCTCTTCTCCACCCTCAGTGAGCGGCCGGACTCGCCGGACCGCTCCTTCCGCAAGGCCGCCCGTGCCTCGGCATCTGGCGGCTCAGAGGAGAGCACCTCCCTTGCCTCCTGGAAGAAGTCATTGGGCGGAGGCCTGGAAGAGCTCAGCGAGAGGGGCTCGGTCCTCTCCGAGGCCAGCAGCCGCCTCTCGAAGGGGCTGGAGAAGCGCTGGTCCACCTCGGCTGCCGAATTCGATCGGACGTCGGTCCTCTCAGCCACGGTCAGTCAGAGTGGAGCCTCCTGGGCTGGCCTGGAAGATGACACCCGCTCGTCGCTCAGCTTGGCCCTCTCGAGCCCCGGAAGCTCGCGGCGCAGCGCTTCTCGCTTGGATGACCTTACCCCGTCCTACGGCCGGCCGGGCTCACGGATCTCTCTGAGCCGTTCCCAGTTTGACGACACGGCCAGCCTGGCCCCCAGCGACTCACGCTCCCTCTGCAGCCAACACTCCGTCACCCGCAGCCTCTCGGTGCCTCCTCGGCCCCGGACATCCACCTCGGAGGATCTGAGAGTAGATGAAGCGGACATCCGGCCGGTCGGCCATCGGAGCTACCTGGACCCGGATCTGGAGGCAGCGATCAGCGAGGTGCTAAACTACAAGCCTGTCAAATTCAGGCGCTCCAGCCATGACCCCGACTCGGATGAAGATGACCGCAGGAGTGTCCGAAGCGCCAGGAGCACCACTCTGCTGGAGACCACCGAACACCCAGCCAGCAGCCTCCGCCGTTCAGCCTCGGCCTTGGACTTCTACAGGCCCGATCAGAAAACGAAGGGTAGGAGAAGCCGGAAGCGGAGTTCCTCCAGTGACTCCTCCTCTTCCTCCTCCTCCTCCTCCTCTTCCTCTCCCGAACGGCAGAGAAAGACCTCCAAGAAGCGCGCCAAGAAGTCCAAGAAGAAGTCCAAGAAGAAGAAGCAGCAGAGGTCCCACTCCGGCTCTTCTTCGGAGTCGTCGTCCAGTTCCACTGTCTCATATCGTAGCGACTCCAGCATCAAGAAGGGCCCGAAGCGCTCGGACGGGGAGAGCGGCGGCCCCCCCAGGGATGGGGGTCCCGAAACTGAGAAGTCCACCAAGCAACTGAAGAAGGAGGAGAAGAAACGGAAGAAGCAGGTGGACAGCTTGATGATGAAGTACTTGTATCGGCCGGAAAGCGACTAAGGCAGGTGATAGCATGGAGTGTGCCCAGTTTGAGCATGGTGTTCCTGACTAACCTGGGAAGAGGACGGGGCGGGGGGGTTGGGGAAGGCCTTTCCAGGTGTTCCAGAGGTTTTCTGCATGGCGGGTGTTGAAGAAGCTTGGAACCCTTGTGTGGGTTGGGGACTGACCTCCAGCATGGAATGTGTGTCTCCAGGAACTAACCCCGTCCGCGTGGGTTGCGACTTTGCTCTCCCGTACACGTCTGTCCGTCTTCGTGTCAGAAGCGAACCATGCGGCTACCACAAAGATGGGCCGGTGACAACACCGTTGCCCGATTGCGTCCCCGTGGTTTGAGGAGGACTAGGGGCCCCCCGTTGTCGTGCAGCGGAGACGATCTCCACGGTCCTCTGAATTTTGGGTGGTGGTGGAGCGGTGTGTGTTGAAGAATGGTCCCGCAGAACTTTGGCCAATGGACCCCTTGACGCCTCTGGGGAAGATTGGCAGCTTCCAGAATTCGTGGTGGCAGAAGAAGCTGCCTTGATGCTCACCTCTTAACCCTCTGCTGGCCTCTTCCTGGGAAGAAGACGCTTGTCTCCAGCCGTGAGACCAGAAGAAGGCAAGAGCTTGAGGAGCTGCGACCTTCTCAGAAGCCTTCAACAGTTGACTGCGTTCATGACGTATCACGCCAGGTTTTGTCAACCTTCTCCACTTGAGGAGGGATGGATTACAACTCCCAGAATTCCATGTTAGCTGGGGGATTCTGGGAGTGGAAGTCCATACCTCTTAAAGCTGGCTGGCTAGGGGATTCTGGGAGTGGAAGCCCACCCCTCTTAAAGCAGAGGAATTCTAGGAGTGGAAGTCCATTTATCTTAAAGCCTGCTGGATGGGGGATTCTGGGAGTGGAATCTTCCCCTCTTAAAGCACCCTGGCTGGGGGATTCTGAGAGTCGAAGCCCACCCCTCTTAAAGCAGAGGAATTCTGGGAGTGGAAGTCCACCCATATTAAAGCAAGCTGGATGGGGGATTCTGGGAGTGGAAGCCCACCCCTCTTCAAGTGGACACGGTTGAGACACACTGCTTTAGATAGTCGAGGGGCCTACACCATTCCTCCCCACATATACACCTGCCTTCTATCTGAGAGATTGGGGGGGGGGTGAGTCAGAAAAACCTTCAATTCTTTTTTTTTTTACAAAGGGAGGGGTTGGAGGGTCGCCGCTTCACCTCAAGGTCCTCCCCTTCGCTTCCCTTCCGTCCTTCGGTTCTGCGTCGCCACCTTCCCCTTGGCCCAGGAAAGACGTCAGTTGCTCGTGGTGGTGAGGACTGCAGAGTAAGCCTGCCTGCCCCATAGCTAGGCCGAAATCCAACCGGGGAGGCTCTCCTGGAGGGGAGGACACCCCCCCAGTCTGGCCTGAAATGTCTACGTTGAAGGCCTCCTACGATGCTCGCCAGAAGGAGACACAGCCTGGCAGAAGCTCCGGAAGGCTCTCTCGCTCTCCAAAGGTGGCCTTGAGACCCCACCCACCCACTCAGGAAAGGAGCTGCGGACTCTCCCTTTCTGGCCCAATTTTCCGCACCCCACCCCTTATTTTTGTCCTTCGCCAGCGAAGAGATGCCCGCCTAGCTTGGCAAGTGCCGAAAAACCGCCAGCGTTTGGCAGCTGCTTCGTCTTGCAGTGGGAGTCTCTTTTGTTTCCCCACCTCGGAGAGATGTGACAAGGGGAAGGGGAGCGACGGGGAGGGGTCTCCGCAGCTAGCAGTTTAGCCGGCGGGGACTTATGTGGTGGGGAAGCTGCTTTGCAATCCCCCCCACCCCCACCCACCCTTTCTGCCCGCCCACCCAAATTATTTGTGTACAAAATTGTTTCCGACAGCTTTGAGCGCGAGAAAGCTCTGGGAAGGCCAAAGGACCTGTGTGTGTTTTTGTGTGCGGTTTCAGTGTGTGTGTGTGTGTTTGTGTGTGTCTCTCTCTCTGTGTGTGTGTGTGTGTTTGCACGGGCTTTCCTCCCACCCCTCCTTGTGAAAGCAATTTCTTTTTAAAATGTTCAATTGCCGGTGCAGCCTCCTGCAGCTGGGAGAATGCCTTGTGCTTTCAGATTTCTTAATGCACTTAACGCTCCAGCTGATATAACAGAAATGGAGACCGGAGGAGCGGAATTGGGTTTGGGCAAATGGGGAGGGGGAGAGGGAGAAGGGGGAGAGAGAGAGAGAGAGAGAGAGA